ACAGATAGATAACCTTTATTGCAATGTTAGGAAGATATTCCTTTACCAATACTCTTAACTTTGAATCCTCCCCTGTCCCTTTCCCACACTTTACTCATATTATGTAAATTCATGAAAGAAACTCTTAACTTCAACACTCAGGATGAAATATATGCCATGAAGTAAAGCTTTGGGTAAAGTGCTGATGTGATTGGTATACAACCAAGACACGACGGGCTGCAGAAAGTTCTTCATGAATCCAAAGAAAGGTTGCAACTAACAAGGAAGTCATCAAAGCAACAGAAAAACTAACAATCGCTCAATGATCGTGAAAGTTCACTGATGAAAATTGTTTTCATGCTTAAATTACTAACTTGCTTTTAGAAGGTTAGTGATTAATGATTTTTAAAGTTTAAGTTTAAAAATCTCAAAACCGCAACATAGAACCATTGGCCACTGCATTAAATCCCTTTTGCACAAGCAAAAGCAATTATAATTGTTGTTATTATTATGATTATTTCAATTAAATAAAATATTAAGTTAACGTGACATTGGTAAGTCAGCCCCAATCCTACCACACTGTTCAAGCCAGATTCAATACGACAGTATTGCGTGGAAAGCATAGTTTTTCCTATTAGAGTGAGTTTATGTGACCTGGGACCGCAAACTCCTAAAGTTTTCAGGAAGCGATGGGCACGTTGCTGAGAGTGCCTGATGACCACGAGCATTCCCAGTGCATCAGATACCACACATGCCCTCAACCACTACTGCTTGGCCAAAAGTTGGGACTCAGAAATTTTACTAGTGAGCTTCCCGTAAATGACTCCCATTCTGAAACGTGAAACCCTGTAGCTATGTCCAAATGCGAGTCCCTCAGATTGCACAGCACAGCTTTTAACATATTTATATCCTAGCAGATGCATTTGATCTAACAAACAAATCAGTCCTATTACTAAGTTACTCGATGTTTTCAACCTTTTCACCAAAAATTCCGTGTTAGCCCTTCCCATTAACATGGCTTCACAACAAATGAAACCACTCCGGGTTGTGTTGTATGTTCTACTGAAAAAATTGTATAAAGTGATATATCCAGCCCAGGGCTTTTTCAGAATTCCCAGGAAAATGGAGTTCCACAAGAATCAGAAACACTGACCCACAGAACCAAACACCCAACTCCAGCTGAAGATGTGATGTGTTCTAACAGGTTAAGTAAACAAATAGATGAAAATTCATGGGGGAAAAAGTATACTTGAAACTGCTAGCCGTGCTACCATGGAAGACTCCATGTGCGACCTCCACAGCAAGACAGCAATCCAGGGAATTTTGATTAGGTGTAAAACAAGACAGACACACACATAGCAAAGCTGCTATAGCACAATGGTCATGTTTTTAAATCTGTGGCTCAGATTGCAAGCTTACCTCATTTCATCAAGCCCAAACCAGTAAAGGACAAAGATATGAGTTACAGTTCTTCTCATATACAAGTTATCTTGTACAAAGAACAGCTTTTTGCAGGTCTGCATGGATTTTTCCCATTTAACTAGGATGGAGGCTGCAGGATTTTTGCATGCAAATAGATTTGCAAACATACTATGGATTGTCTGTCATTTGGTCTGCTAGAGTGACTATATAAAATACTGTAAAGCGTAGTTTATGATTTTATATAAAGCTATAGTAATCAAACTATCCAGACTACCTAGAAACATTGGGCTTTGATTCACACTTCCAATATTTCCTGAATACTGTATTTGACATAGGTTACTGCTACTTTGGAAATGTCAGGATGCTATCACATCACAGAAGAAGAAATACTTGACAAACACTGCTAAAACAAGGTAATTTCTATCTTTATGAAAGATCAAAGAGGCTATCCAGGATAACATAATTGCAGCACCTACGTTTCTCATGTCTACAATTCTACATTCGTCTGTGTCTCTGCTGGCTCACCAAATTATGCTGTTGCAATTGAGCTCCAAGTGAGTATTTGTCCAATACCATAAACTCTATGAGAAGCAGTCCTGACCTGACAGACATCCTCAGAACGAACTAGATAATACAATTTGTTTTAATTTGATAGTCTGAGTCATCAATATTGTATCACCTTCTGTCATTTTCCATGGTCCTTTCATTACAGCGGTAAGAAATAATAAGAGAATCCGCAAACATGGGAACCAAAGCCCTTGCAGCCTAACAAATAAAATGTTTGCCTTATATTTCAAAGGTATCTACTTCTATTATAACTGCATTTTCATTAAAGCTGATTAAAATGGGAGATATTTTCAAGTAAAGACTGAGTAAAAATTTGAAGTGAGACTAGATGGCACATTCCCTACCGCCTTTTACTAGCAGATTAGATGCGCACCTTAACAAGAAATAACATATACAACTAGATATGCGTCCAAACCTTATTTATAATTCCTATTTACCTCCATAAGTCCTATTAAACTTTGATACTGAGCAAAACTAGCAGATGTTCACAGTGCTGCTATAAATTTTTTTAATCTGGATGTGCATCTCACCACTTTGGATAAGAACAAGAATCAGTCAGCACTTGATTATTTGATTTTTAAAACTTAGATTTCTTTAGACACATTACCCGGGGAATTCAGGAAGAATTGGGTGGGCATGAGTGGCTCTATACTGACCATCCTTGGGTTTGCACAGTTATATAATTTAATTTAAATACAAAAGGTGCCTACATACTTGCTGTTACCATTCTGAAATTCACAGTCCTCACAGGAATAATCAAACAGCAGAAAGGCAATGTAGAAACTACCTTTCTACCTATAAAATAAATTAAGCAATTCAATGTTTATGCCTCCCAAAACCTCATAATTTTATCCAATCCTATCAAATAAAGGGTTTCACATATCACACATATTCAAAAAAGTTAAGTGTGACTTCCAGCATAGTATCACTTGTCACCGATCAACTCATTTAAACAGACCTCAAATACCTGTAGACACCCTCTCAAGAGATGGTCATTCGTACTTCTTCACAGGCTTTTTGTCAGTTTGTGGTTCCCATCACCATACCCATGTAAATACTGTGAGAAGGGACATAATTTTCGGCAGTTTTACAAGTGTCTAAGGTTTTCTGATGAAGGCTATGAGATGGTTTAATATGGAAGCAGTCAACCTAAGCTGGCAGGCAGCTCAGCAGGGCAAAGCAGCCAGCCCACACGTGGGATTATCTGTCCTGGGACTGTCCTGCGGCTGCGCTGGGTGCTGGACACGCAGCCCCTTTCGAGGTGCTATCTTTGGCTGATGAGGTGAGAGGGGGCAAATTGCATCGCTGAGTACCATCCACATAAACGCACCACAGGGAGGAGTCAACTGTAAGGTAAATATACTCCCAGGATCATCACCCTGCCCATGCACAACAGTCCAGCAGCATGACAAGAAAAGGGGTTCTGAACAGGGGTCGTGGCACAAACCTTTCCTCCACGGCTGAAAGGAGGTAAGTGGTCAACTGAGCAGGAGAACTGAGTACCTTTTTTTTTTTGCTAAATCCTAACACATTAACTATATTTTTTCATCCTTTGCTTTGAGCACATGATTAAATCCTGAAAACACATTTGCCTAACCTGATTTTTTCCCCTTTATGTTAGCTAGTGAAATGTATGTTCGGTGCTCTGTTCTGTTCCCAAGCTCTTCTCACATAACAATGTGGTAAATCCACACTAGAAAGCAACTTATGCTTCTTAAGTACAAATAAAACCCAGAAACAAAACAAAAACAGACACCAGAAGGGTGCCAGCGAATTGATGGAAACCCTTGAAAAGTGATAAAAGGAATGATGGCATTTAAATAATGGGGGGGGGGAGGAACTAACCAACCATGTGCGCAAACTTAGCACTTAGCAAAATGATTAGTAAAGGGGAATATAAGTACTCCAAGAGCCCTGACACCAAGAAGCCGTTTAACCACACGTCTCTGACACTTTCTCCTGTGCCAGCTGAGTGTGATGGGTGGCTGACAGACACTACACTGCTTCTTGCCGTTAACATAGTGGGGTTTTTTTCTCACTTTATCCAAGATCTGCCTGAAGTGAACAAACTCCCCCTTATCTCTTACAGACAGGTATGGGTAACACAGCTTCTACAGTACATTCTTCGTCTTCTTCTGCACGGGGGTGGGGAAAAAAGCCTCCGCACTGCCTAAATTCAGGATCAGTGATAGTTTCAGAATCTGCTTGCTGCGTTTGGGGGTGACCTGGCAACTTCTAAAAGGAGGTGCCCTATGAAATGAAGATGTGGATGTACAATTTCGTCTGGTTCCTCCCCGAAGGACTTGTCACTGTTTTCTCACAGCAGATCTGTATAAAAGGGGGCTTGGATTTCATCAAGATGATGACATGGAGCCCATATCAGTATGTTACCCAGACTTCATGCAGGAGACAAGACTCCTGAATAACAAATTAGCTGCTCTCTTCCCGACTTAGGTCTGAAAAACTAGTTTGATACTAAAATTTGTCATAAGAAAAGGTGGTTTTAGAAGCGTTTGAAAGATATATGTATGTATGTGTATGTACAAATATATACAGGTGTATGTATGGAGCAGAGCAAGTAGTTCCCCCCAAAAAATGGAAGAGCACAGAGGGTCCCACTGGGGTTCAAACATCACAGTCAAACACAAGAGAGTCAGAACAGATGTGGCCATGGCCGACCCCGTGGCATGCATTAGAAAGCTAGGAAAGGGATAATCTCCGAGTTTCTTTGTATATGTTAATTCTCTCCTAACCCCGCACTGTGTTTCACTACCAGTTCTCTCAACGTGTTCTTCTTCATGTCCCAACTCTACAGTAAAATCCATGGGTTTATATCCATTCAAATCATACTCCACTTGTATGATTTAGGATGTTTACAGTCTTACAGTAAGCAGTCATATAGAGTTTAAAGTAAATCCTTTCAGGCACAGACTGTACTGTAAAATATGTTTGTGCAGTTTCCAGGACCATGAAGTCACACGCCCAGTGCTAATGCCCTCCTCACAGGAACAGCTGTCACAAACAACACTTACCTTTGCAAACAAAGCACTTAATATGGAAATATTTGTTCTGAACTCTCAAAACTTCTCCTTTGCACGGGTTTCCACAGTTATGGCAGAGAATTGCAGTACTTGATGGCTTCTCCAGTTGGCTATGTACAGCCTGTGGTTGTGAAACTGCAGGGGAAAACAAAAGATAGAGCATTTTAAAGGCCATCAGACGCATCTTCTGTAAGATGCACAAATAATGACAATTAACACCTGGAACAAACCAGGTCAAGCAGATTAAACAGTTTTAACTTCTGGTATTGGCCAGCACAGGAGAAAAGATCTCCTAAATGAGCTGAGCCAAGCTTCTCATTTCATAACTTTCAAAACTCATGCCTGCAAACACTTCAAACATAAACGAGAACTGCTTATACAGGAAAGAATCCCCATGATCAAGTCTTGAGAGTCTCTGCCTGAATTTCAAAAAATGCTTTGTCACATTTTGTCTTCAAGAAGTCAAAGACAACAGAGAAAAGCTATTGGTTTTATCCAAAATACATTAATGGGATTTAGTAACTATTACACCGTGAGCTACTGATCTTTAAAGTTCAAGGTAATTGCCTTATTAACTGATTTTAAGATAGAAAGAAGTTTCTGTAGAGGTTTTGAGTTCATACTTTCAAAAGACTGACATCTCTGTAAATACCATGTATGTCTCGTCATTAACCAAAGGTTTCTGTCATTTTGTAAGAAAACTATGATTCCAAGAGATTAGGTTTGTCTAGGTTAGTAAAATATTAAGTGAATTAAAAATTTGCTGCCATCTGGTGATGCAAATTAGAAACTGCATTTATTTGGCTGTTGATAATAATAATATAAATTGGCATCCCAATGTGTTATGTGGAACAGGTGAGGTATGACCTTATTGTTGCAGTTCTGCTGCAGGACCTGCATCAATTTTTTATTGTAGCGTACTTAGGAGTCTAGAGAGCAAACATCAAGGCAGTTAATTATAAAGGGGCTGTACTATAACTCAATAGACTTGACTTTTTATTCCTATGTGAAGGAGAGCTAGTAACAGGAAAACATATCAAACATTTTAAGTAAATCACATATTTAATGATGTTCTTCTGTAATGTGGCATGCTTATTCCAAGGTTGGATTGTTTATTTCAAAGTGATTGAATTTTTTTTCAATTTTAGTTTCAAAATAAACTCACCAAACAACCAGCCAAGATAGAGCAACCTCTCATAGGCAAATACACTAAGTATGAGTAGGAATCAGATTTGTTTCCCTTCAGGATTTAGTCACAGGATAATGTCACTGCTGTGTAACCCTTTGCTTTCATAAACATTAAAAAAAAAAAAAAGTAGTAATTTTTGGTATGAGACTGCTGAGAAACGATTAATAAATTTGTAAGAGGCTGGGTTAAACTCAGGCTGATCCAGACCTTTAGTTTCTATTCCTACAGCAATATCAGAGTTCCCATTTCAGAAAAATAAAAGGCTTCTGAAAAAAAAAAAAAAGAAAAAAAAAAGGAAAGAACCCTATAAACATTATTTTAATTAAAAAACAACAACAACACCACAACAGTAATTTCTGTACCTTACCATAGGTAGGGATGATATAGAGAAGCAGTGATGGTACTGTCACTACGAACACATATGATAAGAGATGACACCAAAATCAGTGAGTGTCATCCAGCTCTTGTTCTCTAATATCTGACCTTGCTGCTCTTCCTCCTCTACTCTCACCCTCATCTCCACCGCTGGAACTTGGTGGTGATACCTGAAAGGCCATTGCACATCCACCGACTTTAAGGAGTCAGTATTTCAATGAGATGGTGAGCCTCCCACCCAGTCTTCATGGGGAGTTTCTGCAAGTTTTGCCCAAAACGGCACTTTCTGCTCCTGTAAGTAAAGTGGGGTGTGGGGTTTTTTTTTCCCCAAGGAGATACATGAGATTGAGCTGCCCATAGCATTATTCACCATCCATTAGCATTCTGCCTCCTCTGCTAAAATTATGCATTCTGGGATTGTCAAAAAAGTCCCACTCAAGGCAATGTGAACTTTGGAGCTATTACTGAAGCCCTGGTTATAATCAAGTACATCTCTAACAAAAACAACACAGCACGACAGGCAATTAGAAGTTTACAGAAAGGCAGATGCTCAAATTTACACAGAGCAAATAGTGCCCATGGTTCAAGCTAATTGAGGGTCTGACATCCCTCAAAAGACAACGGAGGAAACTCTGAACTTTGCAATACTTAACTTTTGACATGAGAATTCCTCTTTACTGTAACCTGCCCAAAACAAACTACCCACCCTGAAAATAATCAACCCTGTAAGAAACAGAAACAGAGTACGTTCCCAAGATACTTAGTAGAGTAGCTGCTAAAAGTTTATAACTATGGATAAAGGTTTTCTCCCTCCAGAATTACTAACAAGAATCAAATTTGTAGCATTTAATTCATGGAAGACTTGACTTAAAAAAAAGAGCTGGCCACACCCAGAAAATTTTGGCCTAAAAAGTTGCATTTTAAATATAAAATTCTGATTGGAACAATTAAACATTTGCCTTTTGTGTGGGGACACACCGACGGCTGCGATCTCATGCCCTGGTGTGTCCCACGGGCAGGGCAGTAACCCAGCCGAGGAGTCCCAGCCGCAGCGCAGAGCGTCTGCTGGAGGGACCCAGGTGCGGTACCGGAGAGCCCCAAGGGAGTCCTCCACGCCAAACATATCCCCTTTACCCAAAGTGATAATATTGCCGCATTTCCAGAGCAAACTTCATTTTTCTGTCTGCTTCCTTGCACCTGGGAGCTCACTGATAAACCGACTGCAAAGCAGCAGCAAATCGAAAATTGTTACAACTTTGCTTTTTGAATGGTGGAAATTGTTGCAAACTGGCAATTGTTGCAGAAAACAAAGTTTTGCTTTCCACGATGAAGGTGGTGCTCAGTGTCCAGAGCTACAGAGCAGGGTGACTTCACCCATTCGCTTCTCTTCAGGTCTCTGGATCAAGGTTCAGAATTCGAGAAAGCCCAATAACTCCTCTATAAAATAGATCAAAGAGGAAAAGATGTAGTAGTTCTGTTGGAATTCTCCCGTTGAACTTGAAGGAACACAAATCATATTTAAAATAGGCATGGTAGACAGATGAATAATTATTTTGCTTTTCTCTCAGGTCAGAATTAAGCTACTCAGTATTTCAACAAAACCCTGGTGGGAATACAGTGCCTTTGGGCTCATTATAAAACTCTGCTTCTGAAGACAGTTTTAAATACTTATTCTTTCATCTAGCACAACAAAATGATGTAATTAATGATATATTAGTTTAAGTTTTAATATTTTAAAATATATTGCACTTTATGTAGAAATTGCAAGTGCTGACACAATTTTGAGAAACTAACTATATTAGTCAAAATTTTAACTAATATTTCAAATCATATTTAACGAAACCTGTTTAGATGGTAATTTTCAGGATTCTACTTGTATGCTTTTATGTATCAAAATCAGTCTTTGAAGCAGCAGAAGATATAATCAACATATTTAATGAGTGAAATAGTGAATTAATGATGAATGTAATGATCTGAAATTACTCATCAGATCATAACTAACTAAAGAGGTCATTAAAAATTAAATGCTCACATTATACCCTGATTTATAGAATTTAATGAAACTAGAAATTTCCTTCTTAACTTTAATTGACTTTTTTCTGAGCAGAAATACAAATGAATGCCTGATTCTCCAAATTTCCCTTTCTCCTGGACTGCATCCTGCTCTAGCAGAGGCACATCCAACAATCCTTAAACCCTAAAAAGATCTGACTGCACTTACTTTTTGACAAGGACAAAACCCGGCAAGAAACGAACTAGCAAACACTTTCCACAGCACTTCTTCGGTGTACAACACCTGTGTGCTGGGGACATCACTGCCAATAATCTTGCCAAATGTCCAGTGCTCACATATTTCTGATGTCAAGACTCAGCCTCTCTCCAACAGGCTACGCAATACACAATTCCGCAGTCCTGGATAAAGAAGGGCTTATTGGATTAGCAATGGTTACTTAAAAAAAACATCAAATAAGATGCGTTCCTCAGATTTGCTTCTATACTGCTTGCTCGAAACATACAGATTTGCTGCAAGTATCATGGGGAAGAGGGGACAGTGGTACCACTCATTATTAAAGCTGCATTACACACCTTATAGCAACTGTAAAGTGATGTTTTCAGTGTGGATATAACTTTGCCAAACTTCAACTGTTTACATAGACATTATTCACATTTGGTGTTCTCAAGCTCATTTTTCAGGGAAAATTTCACACAAACAGTTTAAGCTTTTTATAAAGGTGAAAAAGAGGATAGGATACAATACATTGTTTTTTTAATGTTAAAAAGGAAAGCATAGCACCATGTTTTTGGAAGTACTTGGAGTAAAGGCTGAAGCCTGACAGAGATGGACACTGTGACAGGTACACTAGATTCATGAAAATCCACAATATGTGGTCAAAAAAAAACCCCCATTTGAATAAGCACAGTTCCTTCGGCGTTGCTAGACTAAGTAGAATTAACAGCAGTGGGGAGTGGGATGAGGTGCCAGGGATGAGGACGAGGTTTGGCTGAGACAGGAGTGTTTTGGAAGCTGCACAAGACAAGCTGATGGCAGTGGCAGAAGGGAGAAGATTCGCGAGTCCCTGGTCACGCTCCGCTGCGGAGCCTGGGATGGAAAATGTCACCTTCTCTCAGCTGTGAGCAAACTGCTGAGGGAAATCAAACCCTTGGCAAAAGATCCCATCTAGGACCAGTCCACACAGAGGATGACAAACCCCTTTGCTATCAGGCTCTCCAACAGCCAAATGAAAGAAATCTCCACGGTAGATTACAGACCTGATGAAGAAACACATGGCCAGAAACAGCAGAATTCGAGACAGTCCTAATGCTTTTTCCAGTTTGGTGCATTTTGTTTTAACTTAGCATATAACCTGTAGAAGCCATTACTGAACTTAGAAATCAAGTACTGAAAAGTTAAGAAGTGTCATGCCTAAGAATATACATTCAATCTTGGATCAAACCTCAAATATGAAATCCAAAAATAAAGACTTTCATCTGCTTTCTTCAATATATGGACACAAATAAGGCTACATATCCCATTTACTCCACATTATTTAACCCTGTTCTGAAAAAACAGTTTATTAGATTTACTGCTGTTGGTGATTACAAAAGCCTGAAATGACAAAGGGCCAAATGACACAATTTAATATCAGAATCATAGAATCCTAGAATGGTTTAGGTTGGAAGGGACCTTCAAGATCATCTAGTTCCAACCCCCCTGCCATGGGCTGGGACATCTCCCACTAGACCAGGTTGCTCAAAGCCCCATCCAACCTGGTCTTGAACGATTCGAGGGATGGGGCATCCACAACTTCTCTGGGCAACCTGTTCCAGTGTCTCACCACCCTCCCAGTAAAGAATTTCTTCCTAATATCTAATCTAAATCTACCCTCTTCCAGTTTGAAACTGTTACCCCTCATCCTGTCACTACACTCCCTGATCAAGAGTCCCTCCCCATCTTTCCTGCAGGCCCCCTTCAGGCACTGGAAGGCTGCGATAAGGTCTGCCCAAAGAGGGAGGCTCTCCAGCCTGAACTACCCCAACTCTCTCAGCCTGTCTTTGTAGGAGAGGTGTTCCAGCCCTCTGATCATCTTCGTGGCCCTCCTCTGGACCCGCTTGAGCAGATCGATGTCCTTCTTATGCTGGGGGCCCCAGAGCTGAACTTTAGGTCTGACAGGTGTTCTCTGTTCTGTGGTATTTGATACGGACATTTCAAAGAGTACTGTGAACTAAACTAAGGTGCAATTTGAATGGATAGACAATGAATATTTATTTGAATAAATATTTTATTCCTAAAGAACAAGTTTTTGTAATCCCCAAAATACCGCTCAACAGGGAAAGTCCTAACTCCTCACCAAGGTTCCTGGATGGATAGTGCAGAACCAGAGCCCAAAGGCAACAGTAAAAGGAAAACCAAAGGGGTTGTGGGACATGTCCCCTCCCCTATTCTTCTTATGTTTTGTTTTGGGTTTTTTCATCCTGTTCTTGAGGTTGGGTTAAAAAAGTACAAGCCTTTCATTTCAGACTCAGACAAATAAAAGGTCATCTGCCTTCAAGAGCAACCCTCCATCAGAAGAAAAGCTATATCAGTTTTCTTTAGCAACTCAGCACTACTGGCTGTTCTATAAATTTACCAGGAACAACACTTCTTCATAACCCATTACATTTGCTTCATGAGATGGAAACATTTTGTTTGAGTAAAAAGACGTTATATCTAAAATTACCAATATCAGCTGTTTAGTTCATAAAAATGTTCCATTTTTTCAACAGACACAGGCCCCATTCCAACTCTGAACCAAAAATGCACAGCACTGATAACAGATACTATTCTGCATGAAGGAATTAGCAGAAAATTGTCTCTGTGTTGACACTGAAACCTTTCATCTATAGCTAAAGGCGGTGACTGAAAATCAAAATAAACAAATACGAGACCCAAATGCCATTTACTCACTAAGTATTTGAGAAACAGGACAGAAGTATTGATTGCTGAAATGCCGTATCAAGCGATTTGGGGAGGGTGTGGTTCACAGCAGCCCCGAGGGGAATTAAATTTGCAATCTTCTCAGAGCAGGATTAAAGGAGAAGCAGATGAGTGCAGCAGCACCCGACCGGAATTAGAGATTGGAGTTCAAGTTGGTTTTTTGCCAAACCCTCCCTGTGTCGCCTCAGTCAAAACACTCAGGGTTGGATTTAAAAACATCCAGATGAAAGCAAAGAAAACAAGCATTTAAGTGCCTCTAAATACTCCGTGAAGCGTTATTCTGAGTTTTTAAGTGCCCAAAGCTGGCCCCTGCTCCCTCCCCACCTTGTGTCTGTGCCTAAAATACAGTGACTGGGAGTACTTGAGTGCCGGTGTGGGGGGAAGGATAATATAACACAGTAATAAGTAAGACGGTAATACATGCGGTGTTCAGAGAACTACATGGGTGTGAGCTATAAATTTACTCCAGATAAGGGGTTTGGTGGTTGTTTTTTTTTTCCCTAAGAACTGGTGATTCATTATGGAGCTGTGTGGGGGCCTGAGGCCTCGGTGGTCCCTTCCACGGAAGGGATGAGAGAAAGGGCGATTGTGAAATGGGGACTCCACGAGGTTTCGCCATCCGTCCTTCCCACCACGCTCGGCAGCAGGGAAGAGCAATTCCCCAGCCCCGGTCCCGCTGGGCTCTGCGCCCCAGTGGTCCAGGCACCGGGGCAGGAGGGAGCACACGTGCCCAAACAGACAGGGGCCAAACCTGCAACTTCACGTGAAACATCTAGCAGCAACCTGTTTTACCGTATTGCTCAATTAGCAGCTTGTGTTAAAAGCCGTTCCCAGCATGTTTGCCTGCTTTATGGCGCCTTGTCATAATAACACGATACCTTTTCCTTCCCTACATCTCACAACAAAGCAGATGGTCGCAAGGATAAAGGGAAAGCTAAAGTTTTGCATTGAATGTCCACATTACATAGTCCCTCAGCCCTCCAGTTGGCCATACAGAGGGCCAAACTGGCCCCACACCAGCGCATACGAGCTCGCTTGCTTCCCCAAAGGGGGGATTTTGTGCACCGAGGGGGTCGAGCCGCTCCCCAAGAAACGCTCACCACTCTTCCCAAGACCTCCGCTGTGGCTCCTACGGCAAAGGGCTATTACTGCCTCTCTCTTCAGTTCCTATACCATAAGACAGGCAATTCAGCACATTCAGTAATATGTATGTCAATAGGTCTCTATTTAATCGAATCCATTCACCTAGCCCAAAAATATAAAATAACATGGCTCAAAAAGGACGTTTCTTTTTGAACTCCATACCTGCGTCTACTACTTATAAACAACAGCTTTTACCATGCCTTTCCCTTGGCAATACGGAAAGGATCGCACCCCTTCTCCAGCACTTCCTACGGATCATAATCAAACCAGAAACCTATAGCTGATGCAGCACAGCAGGCAGACAGCCCAACTGAAGCAACCTTTGCTTTTACTGGTAATTACAGAGTTCATGGGATCAGAGACAAAGGAGGGGTGTTATGCAGCAGAATGTGAATAAAGCCACGCATAAGAGATGCGGCACAGCACAAGTACTCAACGCACGAGAGCTCCAAATCTCACCATATGCTCAGTGCAAAATTCACGTCACGTAAACAAGCCCAGCATGAGCTAACCTGCTGCCCTCATTATTGTAATAAAATAGTTACCAAACCCAAAGGCAGTTAGTAAAAGTCTCTGCCGAATTTTAGGAACCGTTATCGCAGCAATGTGAAGGCTATTTTTGTATGGGTTTAGCAAGATTACAATGAGAAAGTACATAGGAAGAGCATTCCAGTATATCTGCATAAAGCAATGTGTTTGTTTTTTTCCATCACAAGCTAATCTAAAGTCTAAAGTCAATTCAAATTAAATAAAATGAGGAAACTTTTCAAACTGAGCTGTCAGCTAAGTGTCGGTATCATTATAATTTCCAAATAATCATTCATACAATTAAAAGAATAGGAAACATAATTTAAAATAAATGTTTAACCATCTTCCTCCACACTGCTGCGTTTCCATGTAAACACAGAATAATTATTCTCGTGGCAGTATCAGTGATTTAGTTACCGCAGCTCGGGATGAAAAACAAGCCATTTCAGGTCCAGGCTCTCCAAAATGTGGAGTCATCACACTTTACCTGTATCTTCCGGCATTCCCGCATTAATTCCCTTCGAGAGGGGAAATGCCACTGCTGCCGTGTGTCTGGCCGGCGCGAGCAGTTCCTCCGGCACGGCAGAGGAGCGGGAGCTGCGGCAGCGTGCCGTCACGGAGCGCTCCGACACCAACGCGCCCAGGGGTCAGATGACTCCTGCGGCACCCACGCACAGGCAGGAGGCGAGCCAACACCTCGCCAACGTGTAAAAATAGCGTCCTGCAGAAGCCTAAATATTGTCACGTCCACGGGGTGGGCCACCGCTGGCAGGGTCCCAGGGGGACCGGACACAGGACATGCCAGCGATGGCTGTTTTTGCACGGTGTGATGCCACCTTCCATAGCCACTGCAGGGTGGCGCCACGCACCTGGGGAAAAAAGGCTTCAAGAAGGAAAAGCTGCAAACTGCCTGGCCACAAAATTAAAAATTTGGGATGAGGTAGCTGGGAAAGCCCTCTAGCCGTCCCCCAGATCCAGTTGGTCCCTGTCCCCCTGGAGCAGGAGGGCACAGAACTGATTTCGGAAGGAGATGCTGAAAGCGTGTCTCTCTCCCAAAGGCAGTCAGTGAGATACCTGGCAGCCAAAAATCTCTCCCCTGATTGCTCACATGGAGTTGGACTGCCTATCACTGGAACAACAGCAATGTGCTGAGTTATTTAAAGCAATACTTGCTTGCCCAGTTATCATGTGAACACTCCACGAGGATCAAAATCTGTAGCTCTTACTTGCTTTGGACTAAATTTGTATGAAGGCAGCAACGTGTGCATTGGAAAGGAGCCTGATGGCTTGGAGAACTGGCGAAACCTGGAGTAAAGTGCTGGGATAGGAACAGGATTGCACCTCCCTTTTTCACGATATAGATTATTTTTTCCCCCCTGCAGGCTTCACAGAAGCCAAAACACTCTCCCTCCCCCTCCATTGCCCACCATCCTTTACCCAGTCATTGCCCACTTGGTTACAAATCAGCAAAGAAACAGCTTTTTCTCTCTTTTGACAAACAGAAACTAGTCAGGGGTGTAAATGTGCAAACAGGTCTCCACAGCTTCTGATGCTGCCGCGGGAGGGCTGTGAAAGCAACACAGCTTGTGTAGCACCATGCACAAAAAGCACAGTAATTTCACTCAGCTACACAGGTTGAAGAATATTTTGCACTGAATCAGATTAAAATCTATTGAACCAATCCAATCTGCACGTATGTTGAAGGCTGAGTCTCCACTGACCTCAACAGTCGATGCTGAATGATTCCGCAGAAAGTTCAATACCCACCAATCTCCATCAAAAAACAAGCAATTGTTTTAGAACTTGAAATATTGCTTTTTCCTTTTTTTGAAAAAGAAAAAAAGGCTTATTTGTGTAGAAGAAAGTGCAAATTTTATGGCTTAATGAAACTCTTATGCATTTTTTTAAGCTCTTAGCAGCTCACTATGGATGAATTCTTAAAAACATTATATAAATGGGTGGTTTATTCTTTTTTGAAAACAAAAACATCAATCCTTCAACAAATTTTATGGCTTAATGAAACTCTTACAAATTTTTTTAAGCTCTTAGCAGCTTACTATGGATGAATTCTTAAAAGCATTATATAAATGGGGGGTGGAAGCTCTTTATTCTTTTTTGAAAACAAAAAACATCAATCCTTCACAAGCATCTACATGTAATTGTTATCAAGTTTGAAAATGTTTCATGATGAGAAGCCAGAAAGCTGATAGTTCATAGACCTTACAGAAATGCCTATCAACTAAAGCAGAAATCAAGAATTCGCCTGAGTTTCAGGATGTTTCCCTTTGGTTTCTTATTTACAAAAAATATCTTTACATTTTGTAACAGATATGAAACAAACCATTGCTTTGTTTGTCCAGTATTGACCACTGGGGATGGAACGAGCATTTCTATAAGGACAGCTGAGGAGCTCTGACCGCAGAAACCCATATGGTGAGCACACCACTGTCCTAGGCCATGCCAGATGTGGTCCCAAACTTTAAATAGCCCCTGGTTGACATGGCCTGAGACCCAGACAGCAAATCTGAAGATCCCAGGTTCTGCATCCTGAATCAAAACTACGAATTATTCCATCTTTAAAACCCCTCATATATGCACTACCTCGCAGCAACTGACTTTTGGCGTTAAAACCTTATGGCAATATTTGATTTTGTTCAGCACTGCTGTGCCGACTGCGTGAGGCCAAATCCGTCCCCGCGCTCTTTTTGGATCACCATCAGCCGCCCTGGCTGAGCTCTCCAGATATTTGCAGGATTTGGCCTACTTAGTTTTTCCCAGTGGCTACTTCAGCTTGGCAGAAACACAGAAGGCACTTTGCTAAATAGCAATGCTCTGAAGGAATGTAAATTAATAGGCAGGAAAAGTGAAAGCGCTTTCACTCTCACACAGCTTTTCCCTCCGCTCGCCAGGCTTGCTCCTTTTCAAGGCTAAATGCTACATAACCCACATTTTGACGTTACACGCTCATAATGCAGTCGCCCAGTGTACTAATTGGTATTTACAGTCCCAGGTGTAATCCTTGAGCCTCCCCTGCGGTCCCACCGTGTGGCTACAGCGCAGGAGAAATGACGCTCCCAGAGCTCAGTGGGGTTTGATGGTGTCACTGTGAAACTCCAGCACCAGCCACGGGCTTGGCGGGCACGAAGCACAGGACCATTGCCCCTCATTAGTGAGACGGGCTGACTCGGGGGAGCGTGACAAGGGACAGCAGCGACAGCGGCGCAGCCAAAACAGCTCAGACACCACCCGCTGACACTCCTGCTGCAAATGATCCAGAAAGCAGTACAGCTTTAACCTGATTTCTCAAAGCAACACTAGCCCGACACCTGTAACTCCCCTGTTTTAAAAGCTGTCCTTGCTACAGAAAAGGATGAGGCACTTGGCTCCTCTTACAACTCCAAGTGAAGTTCTGGTAGCCACAGCCATGCCCTCGCCCACCCTCCGTTTCAGGTTTCCTCTCACCAAGGTCACGTTACCCTGGTCAACGCCTTCACTGATGTCTTTGCAAACAGCAGCCAGACAGCTTCACAACGAATTTAGGCCATGCCGAAATGGATTAGATGGCTGCAAACTCTTCATATATAGCCTACGGTACCACTGGTTGAAATGGCACTTTTAAAAGATTTTAGATCCATTCCTAATTAACTCATGGGTTTTTTCCTGTACTCGCTTCCCTCTTCCCAGTAAAAGCGAACATCAATGATGACTGAAGGGAACCGTATACAGTCTCACCCTGCTCCTTTCTCCCACGCTCACAGCATCTCACTGGACACATTTTGCACTTTTTCCAAAGCCGGGCTCTGAAAATGTTTAGAAACAATCACTTATTTTATTAAATATGAAAAAAACATAGATGTTCTTCTTCAATATAAAATATGAAGTACTTCCTAATCATGATTTTCTTAAAAATCGGAGCTAAAACACCACCAGAGATTCAGGGACTTTGCAATACATGTTACGTACCTGCTTGCATACAGCAATTCTCATGCTGCTCAGGGAACACATGTGGGCTTAACTTTCAGGTTGCCCTGTGTAGATTCAGGAGTTGGACCCTGTGATCCTTGTGGGTCCCTTCCCATTCAGGATCTTCTATGATTCTATGAATTTATGTCCTTGGACTTTAAGTCACTCACTAAGTTTCTAACCAACTGCATACATGACTTTAGTAGCAAATGGAGACTACAGAGTCCACTGTCAATACAGATTAAGAAATTGACTTTTCATAAACAATCTGTCATCAATGAATTTTACTTTGAAAATACAAGAAATTATTGTATTTCACAGATTTTTCACAGTATTGCTTTAAGGTATCTTTCCTTCTAAGTCGCAAAAACTGGCGGTAGGGCTGCTTCATCTTCTTTTTGACTTACAGTGTTTTCGATCCAGGGTAGTGTTTATTTGGACTTTCTATTGAGGATAATATGATCCCAAACAAACAAACAAATGCAATAAATTAAGTACATCTCTCTATGTAATGATGCAGATTTTGGCAATGCTTGATCATTAGGACAAAAACAAAATTAAAAAACAGATGTTTCCTTTTAACTATCATCATTTATTAATTGAACTGATGTATTCCTTAGTGGTTGTGTTCAAAAGCTGGCACTACTGCTGAACGCTCCTTGCCCTCAAACACTTATGATCCAAATAAAGAGGATGGACACAAGATAGAAGTGAAAACAAACAGTAAAAGGGTAAAGGTTTAATGAGACAGAGTTGCATAAATGATTCTACAACTAAACCCATGTTGTCCAACCTCTCTTGCGTCAATCCCAGCCCTGCTGGCAATGGCCTTGCAGAGTCACCCAACCATGCCCTCAGTGACCAGTCGCGCTCTACCAAAACCTCTCCTGCTCAGAAACAGCTGGAATTTAAACTTCTGGCTCTCAAACACCTCCATCCTCAAATCCACGCATGAGAAAACATTTCTTATCACCTGCCCAGCAATGAGCCATATACATGGACATCTTTAATTGAAACACACATGCAAGCAAGTCAGAGAAAAATAACAATTTGCGGGCTCTTGTAGTACAAGGCACTGAAGTATAAGACACCGACAACACTGCATATTTATGAAGCAGGAAAGCTTAAAATATGAGATGAGGCTGAGAATCCACTCTGAGCTCTGCACAACTGAGAGCAGGCAGCTGTGCTTGCTCCAGAGGTAACTGGGTCATGAGTCCTTCCCTGCTCCCTGCTATCTCTTGGGAATAAAGAGCTTCCTTCAGCCCTGAAATTCGTGATGACAGCCCTCATCTGCTGGCCAGCAAGTTGGATGAATGAAACCCACTCCCAGCTCCTTTCTACCAGGGGGGACCTTTCTACAGTGGACCTAGATCCAGACTGAAGGGTGTGTTATGCCCTTTTACTTCCCCAACTAGAATAAAAGCATCATCTAGTATTCTTCAGAAAATGCTACACATGAAATAGCAGAAATCAAACTAAAAGCCTGCAAAGCCTTTAGCAGTGATTGTATAATGGCAAAAAGGGGTATATCAAACCC